TCCCCCGGGACTCCACCCAGAACCCTCTGGTCCTGGTTCCCCCCGGGACTCCAACCCAGAACCCTCTGGTCCTGGTTCCCCCGGGACTCCGACCCAGAACCCTCTGGTCCTGGTTCCCCCGGGACTCCAACCCAGAACCGTCTGGTCCTGGGCCTCCATTTTCCCGTACATTTAAGCCCCGCCCCCTCTCACGGGTTCTCCGGTTCTCCGGTCTGCAGCCCCTGCGTCTGCAGTCCTCCCAGAAGGTTCCGGCGGCCCGGTTCCCCTGCAGAGTCCGGCTGGAGAACGGGAGGCGCTACGCCTGGTGCTCCTGCGGCCACAGCCAGAAGCAGGTGAGGAGTCCTGTTCAAACCAGGGTCTGGTTCAATATAGGGTCCGGTTAGTCCGGTTCAAACCAGGGTCTGGTTCAAACCAGGGTCCAGTAAAACCACAGTCAGGTTAAAACCAGGTTTCAGTTAATAACCAGGGTCTGTTTTGTCCAGTTAAAACCAAGGTCTGGTTAAAACCAGGGTCAAGTTAAAACCAGAGTCCAGATAAAACCAGGGTCCGGTTAAAACCAGGGTCCAGTTCAAACCAGAGTCAGGTTAAAACCAGGGTTCAGTTAATAACCAGGGTCCTGTTAAAGCCAGGGTCCGTTTAGTCCGGTTAAAACCAGGAACTGGTTAAAACCAAGGTCCAGTAAAACCAGGGTCCGGTTAATGCCAGGGTCCAGTCAAAACCAGGGTCTGTTTAGTCCAGTTAAAACCAGGGTCCAGTAAAACCAGAGTCAGGTTAAAACCAGGGTTCAGTTAATAACCAGGGTCCTGTTTAAGCCAGGGTCTGTTTAGTCCAGTTAAAACCAGGGTCCAGTAAAACCAGAGTCCGGTTAAAACCAGGGTCCGGTTAAAACCAGGGTCTGGTTCAATATAGGGTCCGGTTAAAACCAGGGTCTGGTTGGTCCAGTTAAATCCAGGGTCTGGTTAAAACCAGGTTTCGGTTCAAACCAGGGTCCAGATAAAACCAGGGTCCGGTTCAATCCAGAGTCCAGATGAAACCAGGGTCCAGTTAGTCCAGTTAAAACCAGGGTCCGGTTAAAACCAGGGTTCTGGTTAAAACCAGAGTCTGGTTCAAACCAGAGTCCAGATAAAACCAGAGTCCGGTCTAAACCAGGGTCCGTTTAGTCCAGTTAAAACCAGGGTCCGGATTAAAACCAGAGTCCAGATAAAACCAGGGTCCGGTTCAAACCAGAGTCCAGATGAAACCAGGGTCCAGTTAGTCCAGTTAAAACCAGGGTCCGGTTAAAGCCAGAGTCCGTTTAGTCCAGTTAAAACCAGGGTCTGGTTAAAACCAGGGTCTGATTTATCCTAATGCAGCATTAAGCAGTCCAACCACTCAGTGGTCCAATTCACACAGTTTTTTTATTCAAGAAACCAAATGGACCCTGTTGGAAAGAACATAAAATAGAAATAAAAAGATCAAATAACATTTAGATAATCTCTATATTTAAGAAAAAGATGAAAATACAACTCCTATCCATCCTGGATTATCTATTATATCAATAAAAGTACTTATGGTCGAGATCATTTCTGCCCAAATGGAACTATTTATTCTGTCGACCTCCCTTCTTTAATGTTGCAATAGATAGATAGATAGATAGATAGATAGATAGATAGATAGATA